CTTGCCTTCATCAGGAACAGTGTTAGTTGAAGAGAAGTTTTATTAACCAGAAAATTTATAAAAAATATAACTCAGTACTCACTGCAGTGAGTGACAGAGAGCGCATTTTCTCGTTGACGAAAACGTGAAGTCACGGACAGACGGGCAGACAGACGGACGGACGGACAGAAATGACGAGTACAATAGGCCATTTTTTCATCAATGAGAAAATGCGCTAAAATTAAGGGATTTTAAATTCCACTCAAAGGGAACAACTGAATTTATTTATTTGGGTGTGTAGGTTATCTTACGTCTTAATGTCAAAATTGTGACACATTTCTTACTAGTCGCACAAACAAAAAGTAGACGTAGCACTTATGCTTTCAATAGGCCGAACTGGGTCATGATTATATACCCACACACACATTGCATCATTTATTGTACTCCGACATTTTTTTGAGTGCAGATTGTATTTCACGTCAATTGTTTTCGCTTTAATTGTACTCCCACATTTTTTTGAGTGCAGTTTGTGTTTCACGTCAATTGTTTTCGCTATAATTGTACTCCCATATTTTTTTGAGTGCAGATTGTATTTCACGTCAATTGATTTTGCTATAATTGTACTCCCACATTTCTTTGAGTGCAGATTGTATTTCACTTCAATTGTGTTTGCTATAATTGTACTCCCACANGTTACACTGTACTATTATAATTGTATTGTAACGTACCCGTTACACTGTACCATTGTAATTGTATTGTAACGTACCCGTTACACTGTACCATTGTAATTGTATTGTAACGTACCCGTTACACTGTACTATTGTAATTACATTGTACCGTACCCGTTACACTAAACTATTGCGATTGTATTCTAACGAACCCGTTATATTGAACTATTGTAATTACATTGTAACGTACCCGTTACATTGTACTATTTTGAATGTATTGTAACGAACCCGTTACACTGCAATATTATATTGCAACGTGCCCGTTACATTGCACTATCGTAATTACATTGTAACATAGCCGTTACATTGTACTATTGTTAGTGCCCGTAACGTTCCCGTTACATTGCACTAATGTAATTACATTGTAACGTACCCGTTACATTGTTCTATTATAATTTACTATTGCCAGGGCCGTGGTGACGTTCATGTACTATGGCTTGTCGCTGAACTCGAGCAACATCGGAGGCAACATCTTCGTCAACTTCATACTCACGATGCTTATAGAAATTCCCTCGTATTTCTTCGCTTGGTGGGCGCTCGACAGGTCTGTTCAGGCTAATATTTCTGGATTTTTTAGCGCATTTTTTCAGTTATTAAAAAAGACGCTATTGTGCTCGTCATGTCCGTCTGTCCGTCCGTCTGTCGGTCCGTCCGTCTGTCGGTCCGTCCGTCTGTCGGTCCGTCCGTCGGTCCGTCCGTCCGTCCGTCTGTCTGTCCGTCTGTCGGTCCTTCCGTCCGTCTGTCTGTCCGTGACTTCACCGATGGGTGGACGAGAAAATGTGCTCTTTGTCACTCACTGCAGTGAGCACTGGTCAATTTTTTTTTGTATCTGAGAATTGAATTTTTTATTGGTAGTAGAATTTGTTTTGCTGCGTAGATTCAAAGGACCGTATGAAATGTTCATTTAATAATTAAGTTTAATTTGTTATAGTTAGAATTATTAATTGAATTCATTCATTCATTTACCTATTACTACAAAATTGTTAAACATTTAAATATCTATCTACTCGACTGAGTTTTTGCGATGGTTTTGTTGCAAATATTGGAAATAAACAATTAGTATTAAAAAATAATAAGCACACGATCGATAGGTAATCGCGGCTTATGATAATAAAAGCTCACACACTTTATTTTTCGCTGGAACAAATTATCTTTTATATTTCTTTTATATTTCTGTTATGGTTATATTTCAGACAAAGAATGAATATTCGAATATATGTAATATTGTACACTGGTATAAAAAACGGTGAAAAAATGGTCCCACCGGCATCCTAGTGGCCGGTCGCCCGTGAACATGAACAGTTTCGCCGTTTCTATCAGATGTTTTACGGATTTCTGGTGTTAAATTGAAATAAAAACGGTGAAACGGTGTTTCTTTTCACGTGCCGACCGTCCACTGAAACGCCGGTAATACCGTTAACGGTCATTTTTTTTCTAACAGTGTACATTGACCCAACAGAATGGGGCGCAAGGGGACCCTGATGTTTACCTTCCTCCTTGGAGGCACCTCATGCGTCATCGCGGGGCTCTTACCTAAAGGTGGATCCTTGTTTATACTATTCTTTATATATCATCTATATCTTTCTATATGTATCTGTATTGGTTTTTAGTTTCCAATAAGTTATGAACGAAAAATCCACGTTATCATGTCGTTAATACCGTATCTCCTATAAAGATAATACAATCTTTTATGGGACTTATCTCACTTATGTGGCTTCGTATAAAAAAGACCTATTCAGAGCATATGACGTCGAGACAACGTTTAATAGACGTAAATTTAACGTATAAATATTGAATAAACGTTGATTAGACGTGTAGCTAATGCCAGAGTTGCTAATGCGCGGGTGTAGGGACCGCGGTCGACTTCAGCGTCGTCGTAATGACGATGATATCACCACTAATGACGATGCTACCACTAATTACCTTAATGACCCCCAGACCAGCATGTCGTCATCATGACGATGATATCACCACTAATGACGATGCTACCACTAATTACCTTCATGACCCCCAGACCAGCACGTCGTCATCATGACGATGATAACCACTAATGACGTTCATGACCCCCCAGACCAGCACGTCATCATCATGACGATGATAACACTAATGACGTTCATGACCCCCCAGACCAGCACGTCGTCATCATGACGATGATAACCACTAATTACGTTCATGACCCTTCAGACCAGCACGTCGTCATCATGACGATGATA